TCCCCTCTTACCTTTGTTCTCTCTTCCACCCCGTGTCTTTGGGAGTACATGTTTTGTTCATAACCTCACTCCAGAAAAAAGATAAGTTAGATCCTCGTGCTCTTAAGTGCATATTTCTGGGTTACTCGAGAATACAAAAGGGATATCGATGGTATTCTCCTGACCTCCAGTAGTATCTTATGTCTGTTGATGTTACCTTCTTTGAAATCCAATCATACTTCACAGGTCTAGGTAATCACTTAGATATTTTTGAGGTACTACCAGTTCCATCTTTTGGAGATTTAATCACTATCTCCCATTCATCTTCTTCCATAGCTTCAGTTACAGCTCCACCACCTATAGCTTCAATGCCACCGCCTAGTCCAGTGCCACCACCTAGTCTATCTCCACCAACTATAGCTCCAGTGCCATCACCTAGTCCAGTTCAACCTTCTATAGCTCCACCACTCCTGACTTATCATTGTCGTCCGTGCCCAGCATCAGGCCCAGTTGATTCATGTCCTGCACCTGACCCTGCTAATACTGCGGACTTGTCTCCTCTTAGTCAATCGATTGCACTACGAAAAGGTATACGGTCCACACTTAATCCTAATCCCCATTATGTCGGTTTAAGTTACCATCTTATGTCATCATCCCATTGTGCATTTGTATCATATTTGTCCTCTGTTTCCATCCCTAAGTCTACAGGTGAAGCACTATCTCATCCCGGGTGGCAACAGGCTATGATTGATGAGATGTCTGATTTACATACGAGTGGTACTTAGGAGCTTGTTCCTCTTCCTTCGAGTAAATCGACTGTTGGTTGTCGTTGGATGTATGCAGTCAAAGTTGGTCCAGATGGACAGGTTGATCGACTTAAGGCTCGTCTTGTTTCCAATGGGTAAACTCAAATATTTGTACTCGATTACAGTGATACTTTCTCTCCTGTGGCTAAAATAGCATCGGTCCGCCTTTTTCTATCCATGGCTGCTGTTTGCCATTGGCCTCTCTATCAGTTGGACATCAAGAATAATTTCTTCATGGTGACCTTGAGGATGAGGTTTATATAGAGCAACCACCAAATTTTGTTGCTTAGAGGGAGTCTAGTGGCCTTGTATGTCGGTTGCGTCGGTCCCTCTATGGTCTAAACCAATCTCCTCGAGCCTGGTTTGGTAAGTTCAGCACAGTTATTCAGGTGTTTGGCATGACTCATAGTGAAGCTGATCACTTTTTTTTATCGGCATTCTGCTTCAAATCTCTATATTTATCTGGTTGTTTATGTTGACAATATTGTTATTACCGGCAATAATCAAGATGGTATTAGTAAGTTTAAGCAACATCTCTTTTAGCATTTCAGCCTAAGGATCTGGGTAGATTAAAGTATTTTCTGGATATTGAGGTCGCTCAGTCTTGCTCGGGTATTGTGATCTCACAACAGAAGTATGCCTTAGATATTCTTGAGGAGACAGGAATGACAAGTTGTAGACCTGTTGACACTCCGATAGATCCAAATTCTAAACTTCTGCCAAGACAGGGGAGCCTCTTAGCGATCCTGCAAGACATAGGCAGTTGGTTGGTAAATTAAATTACCTTACAGTGACTAGACCTAACATTTCCTTTCTTGTAAGTGTTGTGAGTGAGTTTATGGATTCTCCCTATGATAGTCATTGGGATGCAGTTGTCCGCATTCTTCGATATATAAAATCAGCTCTAGGTAAAGGTTTATTGTTTGAGGATCGAGGCCATGCGCAGATCGTTGGATACTCAGATGCTGATTGGGCAGGATCACCTTCTGATAGACGTTCTACGTCTGGATATTGTGTCCTGGTAGGAGGAAATTTGGTGTCTTGGAAGAGCAAGAAATGGAATGTGGTTGCTCAGTCTAGTGCAGAAGCAGAATATTGAGCAATGACTATGGCGACATGTGAGCTAATTTGGATCAAACAATTGCTCAAGGAGTTGAAATTTGGTGAGATTAGTCAAATGGGACTTGTGTGTGATAATCAAGATGCTCTTCATATTGCGTCAAATCTAGTGTTCCATGAGAGAACTAAGCACATTGAGATTGACTGTCACTTTGTTAGAGAAAAGATACTTTTGGGAGATATTGCTACAAAGTTTGTGAAGTCGAATGATCAGCTTGCAGATATTTTTACCAAGTCCCTCACTTGTCCTCGTATTAACTACATATGTAACAAGCTCGGTACATATGATTTATATGCACCATCTTGAGGGGGAGTGTTAAAATAGTTATGTGAATATATGTAATTAATCCTAATCTCTTATGTAATAGGAGTAGGTAATGTGTTATGAATACATATAAATAGGGCTCATTGTAACATAGAATATCAATTAATAATATTTTCTCCCGTGCATTCTCACAATATCCTTATCCCAGATACTTTTAGCTTCTGGGTATGAGAGTTCTTGACCGGCCAACACTCTACTCCATACAACATAGTCGGTCTAACTACAACCTTGTAGAACTTACCTTTAAGTCTCAGTGGCACATTCTTATCACACAAGACACTAGAAGTGAGCCTCCATTTCATACATCCTGCTCTGATACGATGCATGATATCTTTATCAATCTCCCTGTTACCTTGTATTATAAATCCAAGATACTTGAAACTACCTTTCTTGAGGATGACTTGTGCATTAAGCCTCACCTTCATATCCCCTTCCTAGGTATCATTACTAAACTTGTACTCCATGTATTCTGTCTTGGTCCTGCTCAACTTGAAACCCTTAGACTCTAGGGAATACCTCCAAACCTCCAGCCTCTCATCAACACCACCCCGAGTCTCGTCAATTAAAATAATTCCATCCATAAATAACATACACCATGGCACCTCACCTTGAATGTGTCTCATCAATGCGTCCATCACTAGAGAAAATAGGAATGGACTAGAGCTGATCCCTGGTGCAACCCCATCATAACCAAAAAGTGTTCTGAGTCTCCTCTCGTTGTCCTAACCCAAGTCTTAGCTTCATCATACATGTCCTTAATCTCCCTAATGTAGGCTACTAGGACCCTTTAGCCTCCAAGCATCGCCGGAGCACCTCTCTCGGACTTTGTCATATGCTTCCTCTAGGTCAATGAACACCATGTGAAAGTCCTTCTTCATCTCCATGTACCGCTCCACCAATCTCCTCACAATATTATTAGCTTTCATAGTCAAATGCCCCAACATGAAACCGAACTGATTCTCAGAAATGGACACACTGGTCCTCACCCTTACTTCAACCACCCTCTCTCAAACTTTCATAGTATGGCTTAGCAGCTTAATCCCCCTATAATTATTGTAACTTTGAATATAGCCCTTATTTTTATACAGAGGAATCATCGTACTCCACCTCCATTCTCGGGCATCTTCTTCGTCCTAAAAATAACGGTGAACAGCCTAGTAAGCCCTTCCAAACCTGCCCTACCCCCATTCTTCCAAAATTCCATAGGTATTTCATCTGGATCGGTAGCTCTACCCTTGTGCATCTTACGCATAGCCCGCTCGACCTCCTATAATCTTATGCACCTACAATACCCAAAATCTTGGCTCATCTCGGAGTGCTCCAAGTCACCCAACACAATTCCCCTATCACCTTCTTCATATAGGAGATTTTGGAAATATGTCTACCATCTTCGGCTAATCTAAGCCTCTTCCATCAAAACTCTACCTTCCTCAACTTTGATACACTTAACTTGAACCAGATCACGGACCTTCCTCTCTCTCACCTTGGCTAGCCTATATAGCTTCGCATCCCCACCTTTGGCCCAAGGCTCTTCATACAAATGCCACAGTCTTAGCCACTTTAATCACTAAATTTACCTCCTTCTTAGCCCTCATAAACCCCTCCTTGTTCATCCTCTTCGCCTCCTTGTCCATGCTCTCTATAAGCGTCAAGTACGCCGCTTGCTTGGCTTCCACTTTCTCTTGTACCTCTTCACTCCACCACCAGTCACCTTTTTGGCTGCTAGAGAAACCCTTTGAGACTCCTAACACTTCTCTCGTAACCTAAGTTGCTCGAACTCGGGTGCGGGTACTTGATACGGGGACGGATCCGAGTATCGGATTCAAAAAAATCTAAATTTTTAGATTTGGGTGTGCGGATCCAGATATTAATACGGGTGCGGGGATTCAGCTAATAAAAATAGAGCTATAAAAATATTATAAATTTTGAGAACTATTATGTGAAAAACTTACATTAATATTGTAGAATTCAATCTTTCATTCTCCAAGATTGACATTATTCTTTCATTCTCCTAAATCTGTTTTATTTTTGATTTTGAGAAATCAAAATATCAATTTTTCTCCCAAATTTGACGATGTACTCCGTCGAAGTGTCCAAAGTCAGTTAACCGATTCCAGGACGTACCCCGTCCCCGTCTTGTATCGGGACGGGGACGGCACCAAAATCGAAGAGCCCACGCAACTTATCTCGCAACTACTCTAATACACTCTGCTATCATGGTCCACATATAGCTCGCGTCCCCACTGCTCCTCTAGGCTCCCAATTCTCATAGCCAACAATTCCTTC